TTATATATAATATATTTTGGATTTTTTTTTTAAAGTTTATTCAAAAATATTAAATCATTTGAAAATGCTTATCCAACAATATTAAAGTTTCCCTATAGTCACCCAAATCACTTAATTTCCAAGTAATAGTATGGATGCAGTGTCCCTGTCCTCTTAATGCAGCACTGTCACACCAAAAATCCCTTATCCCAATTGCTTCCTCTCTCAGAATCTGTTCTTTTCTTTATTTGTGATCTAGTTCTCTTTAAAACATATGACAAACTAGGGACTACTTTTTGTCTTATGTATTTCCCTACACTTGACTTTCTTTCACACAAGGAGGAGCCTAAGTCAGCTCCATTTCCTGTGTCAGAGAAAGTTTTACAACTATACTCACCCCTCCATGTTTTCATCTGCCTCCATTCGCCATTCCCAAACATCCTGTCATTTAGACTATGGTGCCTACAAAATGAACACGTTTTATCCTAACAGAATGTCTACTAAACAGTGAGCAGCGGTTTGTAAAAAAAAAAAAAAAAAACTCAAAGGGGGACCTGACACAGCAGATGGGAGCCCTAAGTAATAAAGAGGGGGAACCTATTGTCCCTCCCCCAGTCCCAGTTCATTGGCAGTTGGTGGGGGCCCTCCGTGATATGGGGAAAATATTGTCCCCCTTCAGCCCCCATCATTTGCCAACAGGTGGGGGCCCTAAATATTAAAGGGAGGGGACCTCACTTATGCAATCTGGTGATTCTTGTAATAAATTAAATTAACAAATGGAGACTGAATTGCAGTTCTATTTCTAGTTTTTCATTTGTCTTTCTGACAAATGGACAAATAGCGGAAATTCGGTCAAAAAAAAAAAAAAAAGTGCTTAAGCATGCGCGTGAATTTCACAGACCGAGGTAGTGTGGGCAGATGAGGCCCATGCGGTACAAGTCATCCAGGGAACACTAAGATGGCAGCACATGGGGCATAGATCCGGACAAAAAGAGGTGAAATGGGGCACTTAGGGGAATTTGGGGGTGATAATCAAATGTAGAGGAGTCGGGAGGGCGTTAACAAAAGCAGATGCGGCTTTGACAGTGCAATTTGTTTTAATTAAGGCCACCTCTAGTATGATAACCACAGTATGAAAGCTGCTAGAGAGGATTATGTTGCACTAACCAAGTAAAACTCAGTATTGTGACATGGTAGCCCCCTTTGTTTCAGGGTTTTCCTATGGGGAAGTTTGAATGCGTGCATCAGCTCCCCAATGCTCCTCTATGAGAAGCATTGGACTGGACATCAGTGGAGAAGGCCATGCTTCTTTCATGACATCACAGTTAGCAGAGAGGTGAGCAGTGCCAAGGAAGTCTTGGCACTGGAAAAAGGTAAAGCTTTATCTTATACATTTTTAATTCTAATGGGGTGACAACTGAAATACGGATTGGTATTGCTAATTTTAAATTGAGGTCAAAGATGGCTGGATTGCCTGAAGTCACTATGCTCTCTTTTGTACTTGAACATACGTGTGTGATATATATATATATATATATATATATATATACACATACACACACACACACACACACACACACACACACACACGGATCATGGCTGGATAAATCCTAAAGCTCTGCCTAGAACCCTCCGGCCCTTTGGGGTGCTGTTTCCAGGTGACCAGCAGGAAGGGAGCGCTCCCCACTTCTGCAGGTAGCGTGGCAGAGTGGACCATGGTAGAGGATCTTCTGTATCCTCTACCTGGTCTGACAGAATAAAGAAAACAGAAGATCCTCTATCACAGTCCACTCGGCCACACTATATTCAGTGACCGGCAGAAGAGGGAGCGCTGTGCAGTGCGCTCCCCTCCAGCTGGTCATCTGGAGACAGGGGACAAAGAGACATACAGAGGGCTGTGAGGACAAAGACACACAGAGAGGCTGGCAAGCAAAGAGACACACAGAGGGGCTGGGGAAGGGGACAGTGACAGACACAGGGAGGCTAAAGAAGGGAACAATGAGGGGCTGGTGAACACAAAGAAGAAACATGCAAAGGGTCTTGGGAGGAGAGACACACAAAGGGGCTGCTGGGAGGAGGAAGAGACACACAAGGGGGCTGGGAGGAGGAAAAGAGACACACAAAAGTGCTGGAGGGAAGAGACACAGAGGGGCTGGGGATAAAGAGACACACAAAGTTGGCAATGTTTTGTTTTGTGTGCAATTAGCTGATCTTGCATAGGGTGCAAAATAGTTTAACACTGGCCCTGGTTCTCCCATTAGAAATAAAATAAAAAATAAAAAAAAACAGAAGATGGATAAAGCCGGTTGTCCTATTGGTAAAGGTGATGTTTTAAACTCCGACACCCTGGTATATAGCAACTAGAGTTCAAAAGGTAAAAAGTACACTGGCCGACATACCTACTTTATGGGCTGTAGTGGCTCTCCAGGAAACAATAATACCAAGTACTTAATGAGCACTGAGTCAAGGTGTATGCAGGAATTTTTATTGGTGAGAAACATACAATCAACTTAAAGGACCACTATAGTGCCAGGAAAATATACTAGTTTTCCTGGCACTATAGTGCCCTGAGGGTGCCCTCACCCTCAGGCTCCCACTCCCGCCGGGCTCTGGGGGGAGGAAGGGGTTAAACCCACCTCTTTCTCCAGCGCCGGGCGGGGAGCTCTCCTTCTCTCCGGCTGAATGCGCATGCGCGACAGGAGCTGCGCACGCAATCAGCCAGTCCATAGGTTTTCCGCGCTTCTCACTGTGATTTTCTGCTACTTCGGTGTTTCACCTATGAAGTGTAGAATGTGTGTAGTTTAGACTTTTAGTCAGAGTATCTGCCAGTCAGTTTTCTTTCTTAGCTGGCAATTGATACCTGTATTTATTCATTTTGGGAAGTCTTAGACTGCATCTTTTCTTTACACCCATTTCCCTTTCTTTACTTTTCCTGTCCTATTTTTAATTTTGTTTTTTCCTCATTAGTATTATTAAAGGTAGGGACCCCCTTCCCTTTTCGTTACTCTCCTGTTCAGGACTCCTCTAGTCCCTCTTTCTCTGATTTTTCTATTATCCGCGGGTTATTCCCCATTTTAGGAGAGTAACATATAGGGCCTTTCTGGGCTATGCTTCACCGGTCAACGAGATAGACCTCTGAATCAGTGCCTGCACTATTTATGTGTTAACGTGATTAACATTGACATCCGTTTTCCATTTTATTCCATCCCGTTATAAAGAACTGGTTTATACTAGAATTTCACAAGTTAACTACACTGTGGCAACATAAGTATTATATTGGTTTTCCACAATGCAACAAGTTAGAGTTTTAGAGGTCTGGTTTTACAGCATGACTGAACTGACACTAGACATCATATAAAGTTCCAGTTCTCAAATGAGTCAAACACTCATTGTTGGGAAATGGCGACTCCTGGTGTCTAATAATATTATTAAACCCTCTGCATCGCTTAGCTGTTAAAATGCAGAAAGAAGCAGAATTTAAGCTAAACAAGTTTCATGTTTGCCCCATTTGCTACATCTAAACATTACCGAATCTTTAAAGGTATGTATTGAAAAGAGAGAAACAGATTTCCACTAATTCATACATGCTAAGTATCCAAATCTTTATTCTTAATTTGTAATCATTAGAAAATGTAGGGATGTTTAAAGACATTATGATGTCACCCCAAGCAGCATTTCCACAATCAGAAGCAAAATTAGATAGATAATGTACAACAGCAAAAAAGTATATACAATGGAATCTAGCACAGTGAGCCTTCCTGTAATTTGTATTCTGTAATAATATCATGAACGACCCCTATCTAGATATATGGAAAGACAGAGTATTCTCTGCTATTACCATGTGTAACATAAGAGCCAGTTAATCCAACTGATTCCTTTCTTTTTAACAATTCTAGGTGATCACGGTCACCTTTTAGGACTCTCTGCTGAGTCAGTTTTCTGTAAAGTAGCTTAATTTGAAATTTGACTTGAAACATGATTAAATTCTTGATTAACACACTGACGTTAATACATGATTAACACATAGATTTTGTGTCACATTTGAACATATCATGAATCTGAAACAATTTCTCTGTGCTGAGGTAGGTGATGGAGTGAAAAAAATGGCTTCCCCCCCCCCCCACTGCCAATATCAGTGCTTACCAAGAAGTTTAAAACATTTCTCACTCATTTTTTAGGACAGCAGGAGTAAAGGAGAAATGTAAAATAATTGCCTGTGTTCAAATATGCCAGTATCTTTTTACACATCTCCCAGTTTTGTGGCTAGCAATATTACATACTACTAATAATGATACCCTATTGGCAGTTGGAATGGCGTCTGCTAGGCTTTGAGGGCAAGCTCCGCCCCCAGAAATGCTATATTAAACAGTATATTAAATACAGGAAGTGTAAACATTAGATGAATTTTTACAGGAAGTGTTTGGAAGGCTATGCAAATTACATGCAGTTGTGACCTAGGGCTGCATAAAGTGATTTAACTCCTAAAATGTTAGAGAATGGAGCAGTGAGACTACAACGGCATGATATACACACCAAAACTGCTTCATTAAGCTAAAGTTGTTTTGGTGACTATAGAGTCCCTTTAAGTACTCTGATTAATTGTGGTTTTAATGCTATTATCTTTACCTCATACATTTCCCTTTTAAATTGCAGCAAACTGGACCTCCCACACAACCAAAACACACTTGATTGATATATAACACACCCTTATGAATTTGTGCAAACAGCATGTTCCCAAAAAACATGTCTGTTGTCAAATTCTAGCATAAGTGCATTGATTCACCTGGGTCTCCAAATTGGAGTCCACCACAGTTTTTCAATTGCATAAGAAAATGGTCTTCAAACAAAAAAAAAAAAAAATCCTTGTGAAAATTATTTTTAAAAAGAGAGAGAACGGGGGCGTGGCCGAACGTCGAATGAAGCTGGCAGCACACTGAAAGAGCTCCGCAGCTCAGGGCTCTTAAACGCGGCTTAAATCCACTTTTATCGGCTAACACCCGACTAAACGACGCGGGTCAACGATGTCCCAGCACCGCATAAAGAAGGGCGCGGACACGAAAGACAAAGCAGCCTTCTTTGTAGCCAGAACTCCGCACCCCAAGCAGGCCGAGCTACAGGCCCAAGATGGCGCTAAGGCTGATCACCATGCGGACCTCACCGACGCACAAGAGGCTGACGCGAACACCCTGCTGACTCCGAACCTACTGCAAAAGATGCTGGACGCAGCAGTCATGAGAATGCAGGCATCGTTCACGACGGCCCTAGCAAAAATCAATAATGATATTACTGACCTGGACGCACGAGCCTCCCAACTAGAGGAAAAAAAAAAAATATGGAAGAAACTACTACGGCCCATGCAGCTTTTGAAGACAGACTGGAGGATATCGAAAAGAGGCTGTCACTGCACGAAACCAAAATCACGGACGCAGAAGATAGGTCCCGCCGCAACAATATCAGACTCAGGGGTCCCGGAGGACGTGGGAGCTCAGGACTTAACGGCCTTCACCACGGAGCTGTTCCGTGCGGTCTTACCGGACATACCCGCTCTTACTAGACCGCATCCACAGAATCCCCAGGCCGCAACATTTACCACCAACCACACCTCGAGACGTGCTCATGCGGCTCCATTATTACCATACAAATGACCAAATCCTCCGAGCACACAGAGCTAGAAAAAACCTGCCTGATAAATTCAAATCCATCCTCCTATTCACGGACCTGTCGGCGGAAACACTTCGGCGAAGAAGATCCTTCAAACCCGTTGCAGAGGCTCTCCGACACCACCGCATCCCCTACAGATGGGGCTATCCAGCGAAACTCCTCATTACCAAAGGAGGGAAACTACTCAGCCGCCTCACCGAAAGAAGGCCTGGAGCTGCTGCACAAATGGAACATAGCCCCAAACCTACAAGCAACAGGCCTACGCAAGACACAGGGCACCGACGGACGTCCACAGAGGCAGCGGCGAGCTACTTCAAAAGATGACGACCACTAACCTTACCTGGAACAGCAAGTGTTTTAAAAAAATGTTTGGCTATGGTTTTGTTGATATATTTGTTTATTGATTAGATTAACTGCATCCCACGGGGGTTGACGCGTTAAAGGCAACCTCAAAATAATATACAATATATACAAAAAAAAATAAAAAAAATAGTAAGACACAAATAAAGTGGCGAGACTACTGATCCACAGGATCAGCCACGTTTAAACTCCCCATTGCATTTGACTCGAGGTGGCCCTTGGAGATTGCGTGTGTAGATAATACTGTACGGTGCTATATATGCACCGATTAAAGGCTTTGTGATGCCTGGTAGCACCCCAATGTTAATCTCTCCCACGCCTACTCCACCTATATAACCTTGCCGAGCCCATCCCGGCATACAACTGTACTAGACTACATTATGTTTATGTTTTGCTGTGACAACATATACGGTTAATGAGTGACAGACTTCCATAGCCCGCAAACGCCAGAACAGAGGGTACAATGTATCAACTATAGCCTGTATATATGCTTTTCTCCATGTACCTGTCAGACGCATATGGGACGCACCTAGGCACACTCAGACAAGCTGCAAATATTCCCACATCAAACCTATAGGTGGAGGCGAAAAAACACCAAAGATGGTAGCAATGCACCACCCCTCGCGACAAGCGGTCTACCATATCATCACGACACGCGGCTCAGAGGGCTCTTACCAGCAGAGTCTCCCCCGAGTTGCCCAACCTACCTAAAAGCCAAATGTTACACCCCATACACCAGAATCAGACCGATTCGGCGCTCAGCTGAAACCCTTCCCCCGCAGCGGCACTCTAAGACAAGGCGAGAGCCGAGCGCACTCATACACTTGCTGGACTAACATATTCTACGGGTGGGGCCTACACACAGTATGCCCTAGACAGCGGTCAGCTGGATTCGACCCGACCGCACTACCCCCGCTTGAGAAGTGCCATCCCCGGCACATACCCTTGAAAGTAACTTTCGTATATTCTTTTTTTTTTTGTAAAAGTTTACTGTTTACCTACTTACCCCCCAGTTTTATAACCCTTACTTACTGCTAGCTCTACACCCTCGGTACCGAAACTTGACCCAACCTAGACCTTAGGACTTATACGAAGGGGTTTCCTGAGACTCAAAAAAAGGGTACCAAATCACCGAACCTAACTGACACCATTGAACCTCTAAGACACAGAATCCATTCATTAGATTAACCACCACCTACCCACAAGGAGACACCTAGACCTCCATAACAACAAAAATAATAAAAAAAATAAAAATAAAAAAAAACAACAAAAAAAAACAATCCCACCACAGAACCAACGTCTCTACACCAATCCCGTTGACCACCCCCGGGTAACAACAATGAAAATATATACGCACAATGTTAGAGGCCTGAACACGTCCCATAAGAGATACAACCTCCTCAAAGAGATCCGAAATTCACAAGCAGACATCATATGCCTGCAAGAAACCCATTTCAAACATGGCTCTACACCCATCCTTGGGCTTAAACACTTTCCCTACCAATACCATGCCACGTCTCCATCCAAAAGCAGAGGAGTATCGATCATGGTGAGCCACACCCTGGCCTTTGACCAAGTAGCAACCCAGATAGACCCGCAAGGAAGGTACATCATTCTCATCTGTACACTAAACAACACATACACAATAGTCAATTCTTACTTCCCAAACGAGAACCAACCCAACTACATGACCACACTGCTAGACAAGAGCGAGCAAATCCAGGTGGGCACCCTAGTTCTCTGTGGGGACTTCAATCATGTCCTCGACCCTGTCGCAGACTCCACAGCCACACACACGAGAAAAAAGGCCCTACGCAAACAATGCATCTCCCTGAACAAAACACTAGCATCTTATGGGCTTTACGACGCATGGAGAACCCTTCACCCAACCGATAGGGAATACACCCATCACTCGCAGGTGCACAACACTTATTCCCGCATAGACGGCTATCTAATGCACAGCTCACAACTACAACAGATCAAATCCTGCGAGATAGACGCCTCTACAATTTCAGATCACAACCCAGTGTCTCTCACTTTGGCCGATTCCTACCAATACAAACATCAAAGCCCCTGGAGACTAAACGAACACTTACTCAATGACTTAGACTTCACCAACAAAATTCGAGAAGAAATACAACAATATTTTCGAACCAATGGCACCGGCGAGATCAACCCCGCCACACTATGGCTCGCGCACAAACCGGTCATAAGAGGGCTTCTGCTCAGCCGAGTGTCTTCTCAAGAAAACAATGCATACAGCTTTTCTGAACCTTCTTAAGCGAATCCAAGACCTCCATAGAAAAAACCAACTACACCCCTCCAAGAGCCTCCAACAGCAATTGCAAATAGCGCAAGACGAAGTTAAAGCAATCCATCTCAAAAAAGCCAGCATAGCATTAAAAAAAAAAAAACTCAAAGCAACTTCCTACTCCATGGGAAATAAAGCAACGAAAATACTGGCCCAAAGACTCCGGACGAAACAGGCACAAGCACACATCCCATTCATAAACACACACTGGGGCCAAGATAATGCAACCCGCACAAATCTGCAACGAATTCGCACACTACTACTCCACCCTATATAACCTAAAAGACCAATGCACTCAGGCCCAACCCACACCCACATCAATTCGCAACTACCTAGCAAATATTGCTCTCCCCAAACTCCTTGCACAGCACACCTATCAGCACCGATCACCACAGACGAAGTGCTCAACCAGATAGACAAAATGCCGAAAAATAAAAGCACCGGGCCCGGATGGCTACACCAACGCTTACTACACTGCCTTCAAGGCTGAAATTGCCCCAGGCCTCACGCGATTCTTTAATGAAGCCACCCGACTAGGAACCTTCCCTGCCGAGTTCTTATCGGCACATGTCATCACTATCCCCAAACCGGGGAAGCCCCCGACCACATGCCAAAACTTCAGACCAATATCTCTCCTAAATGCAGACGCAAAACTCTATGCAGTACGACTCAAGACCATCCTGCCAACACTAATTCACACAGACCAGGTGGGATTTGTGGCAGGCAGACAAGGGCCGGACACCAGGAAAGTACTGGACCTATACAAAATATTAAAAAACACCAAACAACCGAGTGTTATGTTATCCCTAGACGCCGATTAGGCGTTCGACCGCCTGAACTGGCAATTCCTTCAGGAAACCTTACAGGCTTACGGCTTCCCAGCCCCCTTCCACTCTGCAGTCAGAGCTCTGTATAGTGATCCCAGGGCGACAGTACTCACCTCGGGATTTAGCTCACAGGCTTTCCCCATTACGAATGGAGCCCGACAAGGATGCCCACTGTCCCCTCTCCTTTATGTGTTAGCCTTGGAACCCCTGGCAATAGCAATTCGGTCCAATGATTCCATCCATGGTGTACCAGTTGGCCAAAAAGAATACAAACTAAGCTTATTCGCCGATGACATCCTCCTCACACTCACACAGCCACTCACAACACTCCCCTCCTTGCAAAACGAAATACATGCATACAGCCAACAGTCTTATTACAAACTCAACGTTGCTAAAACACAAGCAATGTGCCTCAACACACCAAAACACGTGGAAACACTCCTGAAATCCGGCCATTGATTCGACTGGAGGGAAGACTACCTGGTGTACTTGGGTTTCAAAATAACCCACAAAGAAAATGAGCTATTTCCTACCAACTACGCAATACTGCTCAAAGATATAGACACCCAACTGCAAACATGGAAGGGCCTATATCTATCATGGGTTGGAAGAATAGCGGCATTGAAAATGACAATTCTACCTAAAATTCTCTCTCTTCCGGACGCTACAAATCAAAATCCCGCAAAGCTATCACACAAAATTACAGGCCACCCTCCTCAGATTCAGCTGGGGCGGCAAACACCCTCGAGTCCCCAAATCGCTGCTGCTGAGAAATGCGAAACATAGTGGAATGGGCTTTCCCAATATCAAAGCGTATTATCACTCTGTCATCCTTACGAATGTGATCAGCGCCCACTCGACCACATACAACCCCCAATGGGTAGCGATAGATAACAATTATAGTGGGAACCAGGACCTGCCAACAATGCTCTGGATACCCCGGCACCTAAGACAGAAACCTACAACCATGCTGAACACCACCAAGCGCCTCCTTACAATATGGGACACCTACAGAGACCTATTGTGCTCAGCACACCCGTGGGCCCTAGCAACTTCAATCCGGACCCTGCACCAATGCAATGGCACATTCCCGCATCATAAATGGGAAGAAAAAGGAATTACACATGTTTACCAACTATGCACAAAGGAGGGTCTCAAAACGTTCCCAGACCTACAGAAAGAATTTGCCCTACCCCTGAGCTACACATTCGCATATCTACAAATCAAAGCGCTGATGACCCACAACATAATCACAGATATGAGACACTCACTGAGATCATCCATTACGAAATTTGAAGCACAATGCCTTTCCCTAGACCCCCCGAAGAAAACGGTCTCTACCTGCTACGACTACCTCGCTAACCCTGACAACAACGCCACATGGAAGTTCATGCAAGACTGGCAGACAGACCTCCAAGTCACAATATCCCCAAAAGACTGGGAAAAGATCTTCACCTCTCATGTAGGGCTGACAACAAGTACAGCACACCTGGAAGCATCCAGGAAAATCGTATACCCATGGTACCGACCCGACTGCACACCGTATTCCCCGACACATCAGACCTATGCTGGCGCTGCCACGCTACCAAGGGAACTATGCTACATATGTGGTGGACATGCGACAGTGTGCAAGACCTATGGAAAGCTACAGCCCAACTTATAAGAAATGTCACAAATCTCCAACTAGCTCTTGACCCTAAAACGATTCTACTCCGATTGCTACCAGACGACTTTCCAAAACCGATCAAGAAATTGATATACCTCATCCTGGGCACGGTGTCCATATTAATAGCCAGAAAAATGGAAAACAGCGGACTTGCCCTCCACCCGAGAAAT